TACAGTTTATCACATTAAAATTGTTTTATCGCTGGCAGCCTTGGTGGGCTGTTGAAATACCGGCTAATGTTTTCATCTCTGGTCAGTGAGAAAATCTACAGCTCAATTCTGTAAATGTTTCCTAAATCCACCTCTTCAGCCTTGAATTTTGTGGTGCAGTCCTTCTGTCTCTTTATACTTGATTTAAAAATGTCTCCGATGAACAATACACAGAGTGATGTCACACTACTACATGATAAATGCCACTGGCGCGGGCTCAAAGGGTGGATCACGCTGGCAGCCAATTAGGTCAAATAAGAACTTGCCATAACTTTCCAGAAAACATACATTTTCCAAAGATGTGGGGCCCTTCTAGTCATTAGCCAGATGTAGCGTAAAACATTCAAATTCACATGAAATCAATCACAACATAAATCAATACTGGCAGTAATGTCTAAATAAGTGTGGGATGGAGATGGTGCCCTCTGTGACATGCTTGTACAGTATGAGTATGTAGTCGTCATGTTTTATTTGGCTCTTAAAAGAATTGACAAAAAAAAGGCAGGGGAGGGGTTAATGTGTGTGATAGATCATCCTGGGTTTTCACCCAGAGCTTTCTTCCTCCTTCTTCCCATTTTTCTCTTCCCTCCCTTTCAATTTTCCTGGCCCCCTCACCCTTGTGTCAGCGTGCCTTTCTAGCCGTTGGCCTGGGGCCCCGTGGGCTTTCCTCCTTCTGGTCCTGGCTGTGACCTGGCCACAAGGCCGGCTCAGCTGCTATTTGTCCTGAAGGGGTGATATATGGCCGCGCGCCTCGCAGCTTCAGTCCCCGTTCACGGTGTCTCCACCAACCGACCATGGAAAATCAAGGTCAAGCAGTTTCCACATTAGCAGCTTTACCAGGAGGATAGAAATGGATATCTACTCCAATTACCCTGCAACCCCCCCCCCCCCCCCCCCCCCCCCCCCACACCCACCACAGGAGAAAAACGGCTCCACACTTATCTCCCAAAAGTACTAACTGATGGCTCTATTCAACACAGTTTCATAACAGACAATATGAATAATGCAGAGGCATTATTAGATGGGATATTTTAGAAATTGGGCCAAAGGTGAGACAGGCACCTCTGAGTTCATGCCAACTGTCTGGCACCAAACTGCCAATGACTTTCCGGTAGTTAACCATCAAAATCCGGTGTGTGCAATTTACAGACATGCAACCGGTGCAGTAAAGCGCAAGAGGATTTACTTAAGCCTCTCCGGTCATATTAAACAAATTCCAAATTTTTTGTAAGTTAAAAGACTCTAAATAATAAAAAGACTGTTTCCTCTTTTTATCTAAATTTAATGAGTGTCATGTAGCTCTTATAAAAGTGCTTTTAATTTTGAACCAGGAACTGTAAAATACTGTTCACACTAACACTGTACGCTTTATATTCTACTCACTTTACTCCTTAATTGCCTCTAGAGGGTCACCCCTTTTCCAACACATTTTCATCCAAGTAGGTATCAAGAACTCAGGCTGTATTGTTGATCATGTTGAAAGTAAAACGCCCCAAATATTTGCATTGAAATCTTAGTGACTTTGCAGCACTGTCTGCTATAAATCAGTCCTGGAAGTTTCATGAAAGTGGAAGTTTTGAATCTTCTTGTTTGTTTACTAGACCCACAAAATTGTATAAAGGCCTCTAGAACAAACAGGTCCTGATTGCCTGACGCTAAAACACTTTTTTTTCTTTTATTTTGCCCCTAAGTCGCCCACTCAACAGTCCAACCGCACGCAGGATACAGGAAAGACTTACCAAAATTGTCGGTTGTTTTGATATTAGACTGCAGCCTGTTGAGTAATACAGGTTAAGGTCTGTTTACCTTTGCTGCTGGGAACAGATGATGCATAAACCCCATTTGCTGGTTGAGTCACTGCTGACACGCGCCTTCCAGCCTCCAACACGACAACACATCAATTTGGAATGGTATTGTAGTTTGGGCCAAACTAATTGCTAGCAGTGTTTTCAAGCACTCTTGCCTTACGTAGCATTCAGCTTCATGTAATGTTCACATCTGATGGCTGCTGGTGCTGCTGGATGGGCCTCATGCTTGGTTAGCTGTGAGCAGAGAATCATGTGCTCTCTTCAGCAACAGTTAGGTGAATGAAAAATCTTCTTCACTGCCCCCAATTAACAGTGAAGGTCGAGCGCCAGAAAGTTATGATGCGATTTAACCCCCCGCATGAGGTCAATTTGACCTGAATAGCTTCCTATTAAGCATGATAAATTTGTTATTTTTCAATCCATTAAACCTTTTCCCCATAGTCCATTTAGTCAGAACAAACCATTGGCCTGCCGTAACCTACGTTCTGTTGACCGCAAGCAATCTTCAAGGAAAAAGGGGATGACACAACAATTAGCCGAGATGACTTCAAAGTGTTTTCTGCCACAGGCTTTCGCTAATTATCAGTCACCAGTGTTGGGTGGGGATCCCTCCAGCGCAAGGGTCAATAGGGTAACATCAACAGCAGCATATAACAAAGACTAAACTTCAGTCCAGCCGGTACGACGGCCATCAATGAAACTCTGTTATGACCATGGGATCCATGGGACAGGACTGAGGGGAAGAATAGACGTAAGAGGCTCAGGGAGGAAGCCTCTCTGACTGCGCTGACCTGTCTGCAAGAGCCCCCCAGGCAGACGGATACCAAGGCCTCCGACAGATGTTTTGGGGAAAAGTGCCCCATTCATCATGGCACTTTTGTGGAATCTCTTTGAACTGCTCTTTTTTTTAACATTTTGTGTCAAACTCGTCTCAGCCAACACCACAGAAGTGCAATGAAACTGACAGACAGACAGACAGATAGATAGATAGATAGATAGATAGAGAGATAGATAGATAGATAGATAGATAGATAGATAGATAGATAGATAGATAGCAGAGGTGGGATGAAGTCATTGTTTTGCAAGTCACAAGTCTCCAAATCTTTGCACTCAAGTCCTGAGTAAAGTCCCAAGTTAAGTTTCGAGTCCTAAACAAGTCATTAGCTAAGCATTATCTTGCTAACTATGTTAATATTACCCTCGACTTACCGTTTCTTTTTTTTTTTGTGCAGCTTCAACTGCCATACAAAGTTGGACGTTGATGTATCTCCTGTAATTTTTGACCTGCCCATTTTGCATACCTCAGTTGACTTTTCGTCATGAGTAATTGGTGTTAAAGTCCAAGTCGAGTTGCAAGTCTTTTTGGATTTTGCCAGTTGGAGTCTAAAGTCATCAGATTTGTTACTTGAGTCTTGTAAATAAGTAAAGTAAAGAGTAAGATAGATAGATAGATAGGTAGATAGATAGAGAGATTATTCAGAAAGGGATTTCCATGTCTGTTAAGTAGGCCTTAGTTCCTGAATGTCTACCGTCACTGCCCAGCTCGTAAATCACAACCCTGAGGGAGTTGTTGGGCTGGATGTGTTATTGTGCAATACTGTCTACAAGCCTACACCAGACTCAATTTTGTCCAGTGTTCATACACACATGTACACACACACACACAGACACATTAATTGGCATATTCACAATGGAGTGTGAAGTCATGGCATGGTTGCGGGGACTCATTTGGCCCATGTGGAACTGCCTTTTCCTCCCACTCTCCCATGCCGCAGCAGTGGGGTTTGAATCACCCAAGGCAAAGATGACAAGATGACAACGACTGAAGTATAAACAAAAAACAGTCGCGGAGCCAGAAAAACAGCTCTCCCCATCAGCTGGCAAAACCAATTTCCGCAAAAAATAAAACACAGAGGAAGAAGAACTTATTCTGCCGACTGTCTTTTGTTAACATTCCAGTTCACTGTAATGTAAAAGTGTTTATATGACTCTACCCCAGCCTGCCGGTACAGCTGAGTTTTATACTCAGGCGCTCCGTAGGGAGCAGGAAGAGAGGCCCCGTGTGTCCAGAGCCCCGTCTCCTGAGCAGCACTAAGCACTCAGCAGGCTTCAAGGGCGAATGTTCATTAGGGAGCCAAGTTTTAATAAGCCCGCAGACAGACATGCTGCTAAACAGCCTCAAGTGCCAGAAGAGGTGAGTTTACTTATCCTGCTGATCCTCGTGATTTCACATGGCATCATGAGCAACGCATCCACGTACATGACCCAACAGTCACCCACTGCACATCATTTACCATCAGGTCAGGGAGTGAAGTGAAATGCACTGTGGAATTGGTGTTGAATAGATGCGACTGAATTGATACTGATGGGTCAAGCTATTTAGTATTATATTTCAACCTTTATTTATCCAGTGAAAGTTGAACATGTGCAGCATGCCCTTTATATGCACGCAGCTGTGCACATTCATATGAGCTCACTGCAACTATAATCTGGGTTAGGGCTAATGCCTTTCCCAAGGGCATCTAAGAGTGGAAAGGTGTCATTTGCCCAAAGGGTAAGGGTGTTATGTGCTAGACTTATTCTTGGCTAGCTGGCCATAGCTATTCATTTTAACAGACAGATATGAGAGAAGCATCAATCTTCTCATCTAACTCTCAGCAAGTAAACTAATGAGCATATCTCCTAAAACCTTGAACTATTTCTTTAATCTGCAAAGTGAGAAGCAACTAAAGCTGTCAGCAAATTTAGTAAATAGCACAATATTTTAAGTATGAGTACCATAGAATGAAAGTACTCCGATTACATATAATTATCTTTATATTCTACTCAAAGCTAGGATAGGCAGAAATCTGGAAGAGAATTTGAAGAAACAACTTCCTCCTGCAGCTCTCCGCTCTCTGTCCTAAGCTCGTCCCACTGGACAACCACAGGCATATGCTCACATTTTTTTACAGTAACCCAGTGTTTCCTATACATTGATTTATTCTGTCTTGTTTCATTGCAGAGTTGTACACAGCACATTATTCGGCCTCCTTGCTCTGTCTCTGTTTATCAGACCATAAGTGAGACAAGAATTAGCAAGCTAACATTAGCCACCCAACTGTCCCTTCTACTCGCTCAGCACCACTTTGGACTGCTTCCCTGGGGGGAGAGGGCACGGCAGCAGCTCGGGAGACGGACATTTGCTTGGTGGCTGCAAACCTTCTAGCACCAGGTCTAACCTGTTTGGCTCTGGTAAGCAGAACTAAACTATAAGCAACATTTTTCTTCATCTCTGAAACACTTTGCCAATATTAACATTATTTCATTTATTGTCAGGCTCTCTTTCTGATTAGTCCATCCTCCTTTTTTTGGGTTGCTTTGCAGTGTGGGCAGTTGTTGCCAGTACTGGAATAGCAACTTGACGTGCACGAGCATCTACATTTGTACAACAGCAAATTGGATTGGCCTCTCTCTGACAAACAGGTAAGCTATTGAGTCGTTGCTTTACGTCTTTTGCCTGTTGCCAGGCAGCCAACTCTGCATGGGTATGTCTGAAATATCAATTTTATTAACAGCATGTGTTGCATGGCTTGTGTTTTAGTGCACAATATTGCTAACCTGTAACTGCATCTTTTAACATTTATTTATTATCTATATAATGACTAGTGGATTTTATCTATGATCACCGACTATTGCTGCTCTGCATGTCTGCATAACCTGTGTGAAGGTGCTTCTTGTTGCTTGCATGTCTGTTTGTGCTTACATGCTGTTTGTTGTTGTTGCGTTATTGTATTGTACTGATGCTCTGCTGTTGCTTTGCATGGATTGTATTCTAACTTAATAATGTGAATTTGATCCTTTTATTGGTTTCAAAACATCTTGCCAAAGGACTGAAGTTGGAAATTAACCACCTGGCTAACACGGGCACATTTGGCACAATGTTGATTAATGTGCATTGCCCTTATCAATAAAATAAAATAAATTTCATTCAAGCCAAATGAAACCAAATGAACCTAACCACATGCTTTAGTTGCGTAAACCTAAGGATGTAAACCTAGGAATTAAGTGTTTTACCTACATTCTAAGTTCATTTTGAAAAAGACTGCATGCATTCAGCAAGGAGAAATTGTACATTTCCATGAAAATATTTTGAGAGGACACAAAGCATGTAAGAGGCGTAAATTGAAACACTGTCTCTGAATGTCTAAAACTGACACAAAAGGGTGCCTGACGCATCATATTTGACGTGAAGGTCCACCGACAAAGCTCCATTATTTAACGAGTAGGGATGAGAACTTGTTGGACAGTCACAGATACCTGATTTCTTTTTCTTTTTGTTCCAGGACCATTTCATTTATTGCTCGCTTTGGGACATACAGAGAATTTTAACAAATATAACAAAAAAATGCCTCTAAAATAACTTGCCTACCTTGGCTTTGAGTATGGTACTTGAGCAAATGTACTTTGTTATATTCCACCACTGTTTCTCATACGTTCAAACCCAACTGCGACTGGATCATATCTATCAAACCGAAGTCTTTTATTTGAATTATACAATCCAAAGATAAGAACTGTGTTTCCACAGTGGGAGCTTTGGTTTATCCTCTGTGACAAATGTTAAGATGCATGACACCAGTAATATATGATGTAATGAAACATGAAAACACAAGAGCACATCAAGGTTGTACTTTATCACTCTGTCATTATGGAGTGAACTGAGTATGATAACTGATCCATTGTTGTTTCTGTAATCTCAAAGTGCTCACCGATGCAAAATGAGTACCCAGCCTCCATTCTTCATGGACAGTCTTGGCACGGTTCAGACCAGTGTTTATCTAAGGAAGAGGTAAATGACTAAATGAATAAAAACGGTATGACAGCTAGGTGGAAAAAAATACACGATGACAGACGTGATAATTAGCAAGAGCTGCTAACAAAACGATAACGTCATAAGATTGTCCTTCAACTGTTTCTACTTTACTGTGTTGGCCCCGAGATAATATAACCTAGAGGAATCAATCACAGGGCTTGTATATTAAGACTTGCATGACAGACCTTAATATAAGTCCATCCTGCGTGGGATGTTTAGATAGATTTCAGAGCAAATTCTGGCTTAAAATCTTGCACATTTTGTTCTGCACCAGGTTTTGTGTTTGGAAATTGTCTAAGGCTTGAGGGGATTTCATTATGGGCAAATGGAGAATGGAATGGAAGGGTTGATACTCATAAACAACACAGTCTCTGTTTGTTGTTTGTAGATTGATCCAGAATATTTTAAGCCTTCCTCTGAAAATAAACAGATTCCGTGGCGCTCTAACAAAACAACAAAGACAGATGCAGTCGACGATATTATCCACAAAAAGGCCTGGCTAATATTAGAGGCTGTGATGGTCGAATTCCTGTCAGTCCTACTACTGTTTCACACCACCTTATTGTTTTCATCTCACCAGTTGATACTGTGTGATGAGAAGTTTGGTAATCACTGGCTGTGATTGCTTGCAGCAGGCCCAGCCATCTGTCCACCATTTAACATAAAGAATGATTCCATGTTTGCAGCGAGGAGTCAGATCTTCTTATTAGATCACTGCGTCATCCCTTATGATGATGGATAGTGTCGTGTAGGGTCACTCTTTTATTGGTGAATTGATCAAAATTTTAGTCAGTGTGTGTCTGCGGCCAAGCCACATCTGGAGGCAACCTGGGGGCTGTTAATCACGAATCTAAACAGAAAATAGCTCAATCTCCTTGTCGCAAACACCCAGGAACTCCTTTGGTTGCATAACATCCTTTAATATGTCAATTTCGTAGTTAGCAAACGACAGAAAATGGAAGGTTTTTATATTTATGTGGTAATAAATACAGGGTGTCTGTGAATTTTGACTGGAAACTTAAGTGTTACACACTGTATTTACTTAGAAGTTTATTTCCATGCAAAACCTCCTTGGAGAGGTCTTTCTGGGCAAATTCTTTGCTGATGTAATGTTTACTTTGCCACAAAAATCTCGCTGTTGCATTCTCTAATGACTGCAACAAGATCACATATTAATTCAGTGGATGGAAACTATCTGAACCACAGTCCATGGACAATGCTGGGTATCTGACGAAATCATGTGTACGTCCTTGTGGAGCAGTTGGCCCGTTATGCAAAGGAATACAGCCTTTGAAATGATGACGGCGGTCTGGAATGGACAGCTTCAAAAAGTTGGGGGATTCCATCAGATGCGTTAAACATGTTGGCAGGAGTAATGCTGGGAAAGAAACAAAGAGCGGGGTAGGGGGGATGCAACATCTTAACAGCCAATCGGATTGATTAGGATGACAGTGTAATGGCAGAGGATACAATGGATATCAAGGATTGCTGTGTGTGTTCCTACACTTCCTCCCTGTTCTCCAGATTTGTCCAAATGAAGCAAATAAATCAGAGTCATGTCAGCATGTCTTTTCTCTGTCTATAAGCCCAGAGCATAAACATGGATTTTCTTTGACTGACCTCATGCAGGCATTTCAAGCCTTTTCCCTTTTGGATCTCAATCTGTTGCATTCAGTTCTACTTTACTTTGATGTGTCTGCTGAAAACTGTAAAGCATAAATGCATTCTTTATTTTGTTAGTGCCACATGACTCTTATCTTTGATTAACTGCTCACATAGACCTCCAGTATCTTCTCATGCTTATAAAACACAACACTCTTTCAGTGGCACCTCTAAGGGGAGCCCTGATCCCCCTGGTGCAATCGCTGCCCCCCCCCGCTGCCCCCTCCACTGGTGTAAACAATTGGAGGCCAATATAACTGTCTTAAAGAGGCTGTGGTGTACTCAGTTTTAAAAGTAATGGCATCTCAATTCAAATCTGAGGCCACGATTCTCTGCTGGAAACTGGTAGACTGCCCCATCTGGGTTGGGAGAAAGTTACTGCCTCAAGCGAGGGCCTTCAAGTATCTCAGGGTCTCGTTCACATGTGAGCGTAGAATGGAGTGTGAGATGGATCGATGGTTTGGTGCGGCTTCTGCAGTGATGCGGGTGCTGCGCTGGACCCTCGTGGTAAGGAGGGAGCTGAGACGTAAGGCGAAGCTTTCGATTTACTGGTCCATCAACATTACAACCTTCACCTATGGTCATAAGCTCTGGGTAGTGACCGAAAGAATGAGATCGTGGATACAAGCAGACGAAATTAGTTTGCTCTGTGGGGTGGCTGGGGTCAGCCTTGGACATAGGGTAAGGAGCTCGGACATCTGGAGGGAGCTCGGAGTAAAGCCTCTGCTCCATTTGCATCGAAAGGGGTCAGTTGAGGTGGTTCGGGCATCTGATCAGGATGCGGTGGAGGTGTGTTCCAAGCACGTCCCACAGGTAGGAGGCCCTGGGGCAGACCCAGAACATGCTGGAGGGATTACATATCTCATCTGGCCTGGGAACGCCTTGGCGTCCCCCAGGAGGAGCTGGAAAGCATTGCTGGGACATTTGGGGTGCTTTGCTTGGCCTGCTGCCCCCATGACCTGGCCCCAGAGAAATGGATGAAAATAGATGGATGGATGGATTTTTTCTTGTGAAACTAGACAACCTCAGGTATCTACTGGTATGAACCACGTTGGCATAGCTTTTTGGCAGGCATGCTAAATAATGATTCACATTTAGGCTACATTTTGGCAAGGGAACAACAGGCATGGCCATTTTCAAAGGGGTCCCTTGATCTCTCACATCAAGATATCGGAATGAAAATGGGTTTTATGGGTACCAACCAGCCTTCCCTAAACTTTAGAAGCCTTGTTCCCAGTAAATGTTTTGTTCCTTAGTCAGGTCAGTGTAGTCCCTCAAAATAAAGCCGTATGCTTGGTTTTTTAAGGAAGATGTAAACAAACCAGCCTATTTAAAGAACAATGATTCACCTAACATGTACAGATATGTAACACATTAAAACAGGATTGTTGTAGAACTCAAAATGTTAACTGTATTTGAATGAATCTATGCATATCAGATAATTAGAAATATTAACTGTAAAATCCGAAATGTGATTCCTTGACTGTCCATATTGACTCTGTTTTCAAATAGCCTACATACTACAAGAGCATCAATGAATTCCTAAATTCAGTTATGGTTTTTGGTTTTGGTGTACCACTCCAAGCTATTTAGTGGCTCCATCTGGCCCCCACTATGAAACAGTTTCCTGGGGTGCCACTGCACACTTTTCTTTGAAATTACTCAAAGAGAATGAGTCATGTTTCTCATCATGTAAACAAACGTGTGAAGTCATGTGTTCCGAAAATGAGAAGAAGCAAAAGGTCTTTAAACTCACATGCCTTAAAGAACAGTTAAAAAATACATGTTCCTCAGTGATATTCTTGGTGTAGCAGTGTGATGACCCTTGATGGGGGGTTCCTCTACGGAGCCTTGTTTCAACCGGTCTCCATTAAAAGAAAAATATACAGGCAGATCCTCGCATAGCTCACACCCGGAGCAAAGCAAACACTTTCTGCCATGTCCATGGCCT